CGTTACTGGTCAAAAAAAAAAAAAAAAAAAAAAAAAAAAAAAAAAAAAGAAAAAAAAAAAAAAAAAAGAAATAGAAAAAACAATCCCAACATTCATATGGAACAACAAAAGACCACAAATAGCCAAAGCAATTCTGAGCAGAAAAAATAAAGCTGGAGGCATTACATTATACTACCTGACTTCAAAATATACTACAAAACTATACTTACCAAAACAGCATGGTACTGGCATAAAAAGAGACACTCGGACCAATGGAACAGAATAGAAAACCCAAAAAGCAACCCACAGACTTACAGACAACTGATCTTTGACAAAGGCACCAAGAACATACACTGGGGAAAAGACAGCCTCTTCAATAAATGGTGCTGGGAAACTGGCCATTCATATGTAGAAGAATGCAAGTAGACCCATACCTCTTGCTGTATACCAAAAATCAACTCAAAATGGATTAAAGACTTAAAACTATAAGACTTGAAACTATAAAACATAGAACTACTAAAAGAAAACACATGGGAAACATTTCAGGAAGCAAGACTGGGTAAAGACTTGTGAGTAAGGCCCCCAAAGCACAGGCAACAAAAGAAAAAAAATAAAGAAATGGGGTCATAAAAAAATTATATAAAAGCTTTCTGCAAAGCAAAATAAACAGAGCAAAAAAACAACCTGTAGAATGGGAGAAAATATCTGCAAACTATGCATCTGACAAAGGATTAACATCCAGAATACATAAGGAACTGAAACAACCATAAAAAAAAAAAATAAGTTACCCGATTAAAAAATTGGCAAAAGAGCTGAATAGGCCTTTCTCAAAGGAAGATATACAAATGGCCAACAGACACATGAAAAAATGCTCAACATCACTCAGCATCAGAAAAATGCAAATCAAAACCACACTGAGATATCATCTCACCACAGTTAGACTGTTATCAAAAAGACACACAGTAACCAATTCTGGGGAAGTTGCAGAGAAATGGGAACCCTCCTACACTGTTGGTGGGATTGTAAATTAGTACAGCCATTATGGAAAACAGAATGGAGGTTGCTCAAATAACTACAGATAGAACGCCACATGATCCAGCAATCTCACTGCTGGGTAGGTACCCAAAGGAAAGGAAATCATCATGTTGAAGGGATATCTGCACTCCCACATTTATTTATCACAGCTCTATAATATCCAAGAATTGGAACCAACCTAAATGTCCATTGATGGATGACTGGATAAGAAAAATGTGGTATATACACTCAGTGGAATACTACTTTGCTATAAAAAGTGAAGTTCTGCCATTCACAGCAAAATGGATGAACTAAGAGAAAATTACGTTGAGTGAAATAAGCCAAGCACAGAAAGAGAAACATCATGTCCTCACTCACAAGTGGGAGCAAAAAAAATAAACAAATAAATTTTAAAAAAGAAAAAAAGATACAACAATCACTGTAATATTCTGAATTTCCAAAAGGAAAGAACAAAACTGACATGGGAAAGGGGGTGGCGGGGGTTAGCAAAAAATTGGTAAAGGGCCACAAAAAATGATTACGTTGTATAATGCTGAATATACTAATTATCCTGATTTACTCATCACATATTGCATATAGGTATTGATATTTAATGCTGTACCTCACAGATATGCACAATCAATTATACTTCAATTAAAAAAAAAATTTTTTTTTTCCCCTTTTTGTCTTTTTTCGTGACCGGCAATGGATCGCAACCCTCAGTGTCGCGCCCGTACTGGACCGGGACCGGCAACGGGATCGCAACCCTCGGTGTTGCGTCCACACCTCGCTCAGCCAGTGAGCGGCCGGTCTGTATGTGGGATCCGAACCCTCGGCGGGAGCGCCGCCGTGCTCCCAAGCGGCGCATTGTAGCAGTGCGCCACCGGGCCGGCCCCCTCAATTAAAAAAATTTTTAATAAAAAAATCACGTATTCAAAAATGTTTATCTTCATTCATATTAAGAAAAAAGTATTAAAATTATAATCAGAATTTTTCAAATCATACTTCCATGGAGCAAAATGTTTAATAATATACTTTATGGGCAAGCATATGAAAGGAGCTCTTTATTGTAAACAAAAGCATAAATCTGTATGGTCTCTTTGGAGGGCAAATTAATTTGAAATACTACAGATTCAACCTATAGATATACTTGCATATATGCACAAAGTATAGAAGTACACATTAAATATATTCTTCACTATTTTTAATAGCACAGAACTATAAAATATATGCCCATCTTTAGGACATAGGCTGAATTACAGTACTTCCACATAAGGAAATATGATGCAATAAAGTCAACATTTTTTATTATGTAATTCTCTTTAAGACATTATTATAGCTTGACTTCATCTACTAATACTTTCTTCCCTCACTCCACTTCAGCCTCAATGCCATCCTTACTCTTCCTCAAACATCCAAGCACACTCCTACTTACAAGGGTTTTATACTTTTCCTTCTGCCTGGAACACACTTTCTATAGATATTAGATTGGCTAATTCTAATACTTTACGTAGGTGTTTCCTCTTAAATCATAAGATAGACCTTCCCTGACCTCTCTACCTAAAATAGTCCTATTTCCCCCGCCCTAGCACTCTCTTGTCCTTTCCACTGCTTCACTTTTCTTCATAACTTACTGTTTCCTGACATGTTGATTGGTTTATCTGTTTATTGTTATGTCTCCACTAGAATTGTCAGCTCCAATGGACTTTATTGGCTTTGTTCACATTATATCCTCAATACTTAGAACAGTGCTTCCATAATGAGTACTTAATACTTTTTTTCATTCAAATGTGTAAAAGCCGTGGTTCACAACAGAGTATACATTATTCTATATATGCATACATGCATAAAGTACCTTTAGAAAGATGCTCAAGAAACTGGTAATAGTGGTTGTCTCTAATGAGGTTAACTGGGAAGGTGGGGAATACTGCTGAGGAAGACTTACTACAATGTATATACTTTATCACAGTCTGGATTTTTAACCATGTATATTCACTAAGGATATAATTTTTTATTATTATTATTTAAGAAAATATATGTTCAAACAACACTGTAATATAATCTGGTGCCCCTTTTAGTATTTTCCAACTTTATGCAGGCATCTTTCTTAAAATTTTAATGCTTTAACTTTTTGTAGGCTTGTTCACTGATGTTGTTTTGACATAATACAAGAAAGTGATCACAATCAACTATGAATTCAAGTGCAATTTTTTATACATCACATGCAATTTAAAAGACTAGAAAGATATATGCCAACATGTTAACAAGATTACTTCTCATTAGACAGCTAATGGGTCATTATGCTTCCTTAAACTTACTTTCCACACTAAGCATAAATTACTTCCATAATCGGAAAAAAAATTTTACTTATAAAAAAAAATTCAAGTTTTTTTTTTTTTTTTTTGTCTTTTTTGTCTTTTTTCCGTGTCCGGCAACGGATCGCAACCCTCAGTGTTGCCCCTGTACTGGACCGGGGACCGGCAACGGGATTGCAACCCTCGGTGTTGCTCCCGCGCCTCGCTCAGCCAGTGAGCGGGAACCGGTCTGTATGTGGGATCCGAACCCTCGGGCGGGAGCGCTGCCGCGCTTCCCAAGCGGCGCACTATCCAGTGTACCACCGGGCCGGCCCCCCCCAAAAAATTCAAGTTTTAAATAAAGTAAAATAAAAATTTAAAGGAACACTTCCTTCCTAATACACAAATATTTTCTGTAAATGTGACATTAATACAAAATGAAGAAAAGCATTTCAAATATAATCAACATTTTCCCTAGGATTCCAAAACATAATTCTAGGCCAAAATTCCTAAATATTCTATTAATTTTAATCCATCAGTATTCCCTTTTTCTTATTCCTCCAGCTTGACATGCAATCAATATAATTCTATGCTTATTTTATAAGTCTAATACAATTTTGAAAGTGTGATCCTTTTAAGGGATTTTAAATTAACCATGATTTTTACTTCTTTTTAAAATCTTTACTTTCCCTATTCTCTTCCTAGTTCTGTTTCTTTCTTTCAAACTGTAACTCTTAACACTTTAGAACCCATTATTTCATAGAAGACATATCCTTACAACAATGGTTTTGCATTTCTTTAAAATTCATGTTTTTCAATGATTACCACTAAATACAGTTCCATTCCTATAGAAAATTCTCCTTTGTAGAACCACAGATCATAAATCTGAAATAACTTCAAACAATTCTGTTTCAGATATGAGAAGTACTATTATTTCTACTACACAGATGAAGTACTTAAAACCTAGAAAAGTTTGGTAAATTTTCCAAGGTTACCTAGCTATTTAGTGATGAAAGAGAGTAAGAAAAGAGATGAGGACAAAGCCCTCCTTATTTTTCATTGCAGTATTCTTTCTACTACAATTCACACCAAATTATAAACCTCTGAGAGGAAAATGAATAGGATGGTATCTTGATCCACAGTATGCTGAGTGATCGTATGCCCAGAAATCCTTCCCATCATTACTTCTTTGTTGCTATTTCCCAGATTATAGAAATTTCTTCCATATTTGTTAGAAACAGCAAGAAACCTAGCAACAGATTCCATCATGGCCTCAGGTGTCTGCCAACAAAGAGCATAAATTCTTTGTTGGAAGATTGTGAAGCCAATGTAATGATGTAATTGTAGCACTGAAAATTAGCTATGCTAATTTTCCTTGTTTGTGAATATATTTATTTAATAGAAACTATACCAGTTAATGTTTGAGTGTAAACTGAAACAGAGTTCCACTACTTCAGTTCTGTAAAATAACATTTTAAAATTAGGAATATCTACAGTAAAACAAACTACATAAAAACAATAATATAAGATAAATCTTAATAGCACAACACAGCACGTCATTGGACTCTAGTACTGAAAAAAAAGGTTTTTCTATAGAATTTTTCATTTCACAACAAAAATCAAATAAGAAAACTGTATATTTATATATATTGTTACTAAGAACTATAAACTTATTGCCCTGTACAATTCTCATGATTTTTAAAGAGTACATACCAACAGTTTTTTGCCGTACTATACTTCTTGCCTTTTCAGTTCCTGGGGATCCAGTGGTTGTTGCACTTCTCTGTCTCATTGGGGCTTGGCCAGGTTGATCACGACTCCATCCTCTAGAAAATGACTTGTCAACTGAAACTTTCTGAAATTCATGTCCAACTCCTAGAAATGTAGATTTTCAATCTCAATATACTGTCACTTGATCAATAATACCATCAAAGTATGTGTGCTACCTTGCCTCAGATTCTTAGGTTTACTCATAATAAATTACAAAGTTAACAAGATAAAATGCTGAGTACTAGAAGGCTTTTTTGAGCTGCATTCTACGTAAAAATCATATTCCAAAACTGATGTAGAATTTAAAAATTACACCATCAACAATAAACTACTACGAATTCTCTGGCACCCACTTGCTTTGTAATAGAAATAAAACATTTGGACAAGCAAAAAAAAAAACCCAAAAATGAGCTAATCAAAAACCATCCCTGTAGTGAAGGTTACTTAATTTCTACCCACTACAAATAGCCATTTGGGAAATAATAGTCAAGGAAAAAATGGTTTGGACATATACTTTATACCCTGGACAAAATTTAAGTATGAAATGTGACTTAGATGTAATCTCTAGCTAGCAAGTAATTAGAATACAAAATACTAAATACTGCCATTTGCAACATAGATGGACCTAGAGAGAATTATATTAAGTGAAACAAGTCAAGCACAGAAAGAGAAATGTCACATGTTCTCACTTATTTGTGGGAGCTAAAAATAAAAACATAAATACACAAATACACTGGGGGAGGGAAGAGGACACAACAATTACAATTCCTTGAAGTTGATACGACAAGCAGACAGATAGGAGGTTGTTGGGAGGGAGGGGAGAGAAGAAGGAGGGAGGGAGGTGTCGGTAATGGGCCACAATAATCAACCACATTGTATATTGACAAAATAAAATAAAATAAAAAAAAAAATACAAAATACTAACAAATCAAGGATTCTGAAAACATGTATGAATGATATAATCATTATGCTACTGCCCTATCCCCTTTTAACACTGGACAGAAACATATTTCACATCTAGGGAATGTTTGCTGTTAAGAAAGCAAATGCTTTAACAAAATGCCTTCAAAACAATTTTTCAAATAATCATTACATACATTTTAAATAGAGTAACAGAACTTACCTCCTCAGTTTTAACAAAATACTGCTTATGATAAAAGGAATAGCATTTTATAAATTTCCACTTAGATTAAGCATAAAATATTTAAGATTCTAGATTTAATTAACTTTAGTTAGATATGTATAGACTACTTCATCTCTTATCAAAATTATTATTAATTTTAAGATCTCTAAGAAAAATTACAGGTTACCTGTATGTTTTATCATTGGAAATTTTAAACCTCCAGGGTAAATGAAGGAGGAAAGGATTAAGAAAGAATATGATTTTTACCTCTGGCCTCCCCCAGCTTGGTTTTCCCCAACTTAATTATTTAAACCAATTTATATGGAGTGCCTTTGTGAATAACTCTTACCTTTCCCTTTGTGCTTTTTTTGCTTCTGTTCACTCAGCTTATCCAATGGCAAATCACTGAGATCCAAACTATATAAATTCCTAGCTAAAACTTTAGTTAATGTTTCCATAGTCAGTGACCACTCAGTGGCCAACTCTTCCCAATAGGTCAACGATGACAAAACTGACAGTAAGTCATCCCAAAGTTCTCGGGAGATGTACACATTTAGATTTGCTTTGATCCAGGCAACTATAAGAGTCTATAAACACAAATAATGAGAAATAACAATGAAATATGTTTAGTGTGTGACTTCAAAATTAGATATTCAATTCTAAAAAAATTACCTAAAAACAAACAGAATTTTAAATTGCATATCCATGACTCTTTCCCTCAGATAATACTTGTAAATTAATTCATGTAGTCATTAGTATCTAGTATAAATTTAATTTTAACAACTGCCAACTCCCAACACTCCAGCAATCCAAACGAAAAAGAAACCTCCCTAAAGTTATAACTATCCTTCACACTGCATTACATGTTAAATAAAATAAATGTTATTTAAAGAGATAAAAATCTCCATACCATTAAGTGTTGAAATTGTAGTTATTGAACTAAAAAACCAAAACCTACATTCCCAAATTAAAGCTGGAAATCACTAACTACATAATTAAAAAAAAATGTAATATAAAAAAACAAGGTACTAGAGATGTACTTAATAAAATGTTTTTGAAAAATTATATGTAAACTGAAGGTTAAAATTAAAGTTCATTTTAAAGACACTAGAAGAATTAAAGGCATTCTGTAATAAATCCAATCATAGAATAAAAAAATTATTCATATAAGGGCAGAAACTACTGATCAGCCAGTATCCCTTGAGATTTTGTGAATTTTTACCAAAAATATACCCTCCTATTGAAGACACAAATCACAAAATAAAGGGTTTTCAAAAGCTTAACTCTACAAATTTTACTAAAAAATTCATATAAATTTACACATAAAATATAAAGATGCTAATAACCAGAGTTTAGAGTATACAACAGTAGTAACTAGTGACCTCCCATTCTACCTTTAAATGTTCAGAATGTACTAAAAAAGTTATTTTATATATCAAGCTAAAATTTTATCTTCCTGTAGCTCCCACCATTAGATTAGTTCTAACAGTGGGGAAACTTAGAAAAGAAAAAAAAAAAGGGCAAATGAAGTTAAGAGGAGTTTACATAATACATCTAGCTGGTTTGAAAGGATTACTCACCACCAGCATAGAACTTTAGGTAAATGGCTAATATCTGAGGGGAAAAATTCTTTACATGATTACAAGAATTAGATCTGAGATAACATTATCTTTGACATTAAGAATCATTTTATCCATGTATTTGTATTTAATGTGTCATCTTACAAAAATATTATTTTGTTTCTACTTGTCAAAGAATCCATACTACATTTAAAGTCAGCACTTTATCCTCAAGTTGGAAAATAAAATATGTAAACCCTGTATAATCAAACTACCACTGATAACTTTAAATTAAGAAGCAAGGATAACAAAGTCTTACAAAACAGTATGATAAGAATGAATCTTCGTTATTTACTACTTTTTTTTTTAATGGAACAACTTAAAAGAAAGTTTTTTCCTAATAACCCGAGATTTGGAAACTCATAAAGCAAACAATCAGGCCATTACTCCTGAAGCCCTCTGCCAGCTTTTTGCAACCATACATAAGTATGCCACACAAGAGATAAAATAAATATGATCTGCCTATTATAACACTTTTTTCACAGTCCAGATATTTTCTCCAGTTACACTAGGTTGTGATTTTGTATGTTTGGCAAATAGCCTAGTTAGATAAGCAACTTTTAATTTAGGTCTACAAAAATCCTTTAATATGAAATGACTTCTGACTTAAAGCTTTCTTCCCAGGTACCAAGTTCAGGGTTCAACGAATTAAAAAAATAATAATAATACATATCTATCCATCTATTTATTAATTTTTATTGCCTGGAAAAGTGGTCCTGCAAGTCGACCTGCCAAGGTCATATTTTTTTTCCCCTGGAACTGTAGAAAAGCTTGTGATGGCATCTTCAGTACAGACTCCGTGACTCTGAGCAACACAAGCAGCATCTGTTCCCTTAAAGTAAAAAGATTAATTAATGTTCCTTCTTGCATATGTTTGCTTTTGGTTAATGGTTAACTTTCAAATTAATATCTGTTATAAAAATGTGTTATCTTTTGAATAAATCAAATATCAAGTAGCTTTGAAAGATAATTTCAAGTTTTTAGAATCTTTAAATATTAAAATTAAAAATTCCATTTTATGTCAGTCATCTTAAAAACATTTTTCAGCCACAATACCCTCTCATCAAATAAAAATCTATGCAAAAGCTGATGAATTTGGGGGTGATAAAGTGGAGATTGCTCCTGTCTCTCCACCTACAAATCAAGCAGCAACCTTACACAGCTGTCTGAAGAACAGTCATCTAAACAATATAGTTCCACCTGATGCTTGTCCATCTAAACCATCTTTTACAATATGGAGAACTACATACCTAGAATTGTACCAAGCTTGACTTCAAAAACTACATGATATCTTAAGATTAATAAATCCCAAAGAGCCTGATAACTAGTCAAGGATCATTATTCTATTGCCTCTTTCAGTACTTTTTTATTTTGGCCATTTTAAAATCTTTTCTTCCCTTTGTGTACTACAAGTCAAGTCAATTCTAGTATTATTCTTACCTTGCCTCTTTCTCCTAGAGGCTTATTATTAAAACCATAAAACTACCTTATTCGTACCTACTTCGAAAATTGATTCAATCACATATAAAAAAGTTGAGAAGGGAATTTCAGGTGAGTGTATAGCCAGGCTAGCAGCCCAAGTCCCTTTCACCCTCCTCTTCTTTATCTATTTTACAGGCACAGCAATATATGGGACAGTCACTATGAAAAATATGGCACAGGCAGCAATAGATCCCAGATCTAGATGCCGAGGTTTTTATGAGAAGGGAGGGAAAAATCAAATGGAAAACTATCACTCAATTTTAAATATTCTGAATTTATTATCAAACAACTGAACAGGGTAAACAGATATTTATACAAATAATTTAGGGATCAGGATAATTTTGACAGGAACTACATATAGTGGTACAAATAATGAAAAGAAACAAGGAAAAAATATAAGCACATATATGTAGAAAGAGGAAGGTAGAATCTAAAGAATAGTTAAGGTGACAAAAAAAAAAAAAGACGGCAGGAATTAGACATTTTAAAGAAAAGTTCATAATGTGCTCAGGAAAGTGCAATTTGATGACCATGGAAAGCAGGATCCTACTCTACAAGGCTTAAGAGAAGAAAAGTAGGCAGGGAAAAATAGGCAGAAATCTGACTGTACATGGCTTTGAATGCCAGATTAGAGTATCAGGCATTCACACATTCAGCCAATCATTTACTTATTCATTCATTCACACATGCACAAATTCATTTATTCATATATATATGCATTTATGCATTTATTCTTCAGGGTTAGGAGGGAGAGGCCATCATATGCTCACTTCAGAAGAACAGCCCAGGGGTCTTATGGAAGTTTGATCAAAGATGTTTGAGACAAAGTGAAAGGGAATATTGTCACCATGATTATTACTAAAATACTGTATTTATTTATTCATTCATTCACTCATTCAAGAATGAGCCTCTATCATATTGTAATAAGCCCTGGTCACAGACACAATTCCTCTGAAAATGACTAAATTCTGTACACAATAATAAAAAACACACAAAAAGTATAAAATTCTTTTACCAAGTCTTTTTGTCCATTGATACTTGCACAACCATGTACCGATAAATGTTAAGAATGCGTTTACACATATCTGTGTGCTCATCCAGAAGATTTTTTATTTCATTTGCAGGTTCCAGAAGAAATATGTTTGATGAATTTATAATAAACACCTAAAGAAAAAAGTCATTAGCTATTCACAAAGGAATTTCAATGGCAAATTTCTTATTCAAAGAGAAATAAATTTAGATGCTGACCACCAGGAGATCTATAACAAACTTAAAAGCACTGTGGATTAATTCTGTCTCTACTTCTACCATCAGCTTAATATCTGAAATTTAAACTTGTTACACCTATCTATTTTTATCTAGACAAAATTACTAGAACACCCAAAATGAATAGAATAAGTAAAAAATTACTAGTAAGCACCCAAAGAAAATAAACCAAGTGCCAAAACAGCATTTCTAAACTCAGAGCTTTAATATAATAGCCCTACTACTGTCATAAAATGAAAAGAACAATGAATAAATACAAATAGTTTAGGAATAAAAATAACACCTAAATCAGGAAGAATTTTCTAAATGAGTTGTTCAAAACATTTTATCTTTTTCTTATTTATTTTTATGTATGTAAATCTGCTTTGGTGATAACAGACTGCATAATCACACTGCATGTTATAAATACTACCAATAAAGAGCAATCAATATGTGTCTTTAATTAAATTCTTTATAATCAACTCATTAATTGTATGTTGTTACAGAGGACAAAGTTATTATAATGGCCACAGCTGTGTACAGAGGCTGTGAAGGACACCTTGGAAGAACGGAACATTACATCTATTGTGAACTTAGGACATTTACATCTTCTATACCCACAATTCTGATTTAAATCTCCTGGAAGAATTACATAATAAAGTACAACTGTAAAATCATGTGAGAAAAAAGTATTAAGCAAACTTTTGAAATAATGAAAAAAGCTGATTCTGTAAATCTAGCAAATAAACATTAGAAATAAAGGAAGAACATAACTATAGATTCAGTAGAGGATTTAAAAATAACTCAATGAATAACTTTATTCCAAAGTTGAAATTTTAATAAAATGGATTATCTTACTGAAAAAACAAATTAATTAATCCTGATTCAAGAAAAAATAGAAAAGATGCATATATGAATACCAGGAAGGAAACATAATTGGTAATCAAGGTCTCCCTAACACATCTCTGAACAGGCACAGACAGCTCTATAGGCAAAGTTTTGCCCAAACTTCATGGTAGATGATACTTATCTTATAAGCTCTTTCAGAGACAAAAAAGAATAAAAACCACCAAATTTATTTTATAAAAATATAATTTTTTTAATCAAAAACGAAAACTATATAAGAAAAGTAAATGAGAGACTAATATCACTTATGAACATACAGATGAAAATCTTGAAAACATACTAACAATTCAAATTCAGCAAAATATAATATTTCATGATCAAGTAATGTTTACTCCAGAAATGTAAAAATGCTTTAACATCAGAAAAAATCTATTAGTACACCCTATCAATATATTAAAATGGAAAAATAGTATGGTCATCACAATGTATGCAAAAGCATTCAGAACTTGTTCACTATTAAAACAAACAAAAAACTGTAGTAACCTAATAAAAAAGGGGAAAATCCTTAATCTGTAAAAGAGCACTTACCAAAAAGTATAACAAATGTATGCACAGCAACAGAACATGAGAAGTACAGCCAAACGCCAAGAACAAGAGAAGGGTGCTCACTATCACCTCATTGTCCTGGGGAACCCAGTAAGCACAAAAGGAAGGGAGGGATAGAGATATGAATATTGATATTAATGAATTGAAAAGAAAAAGACAAAACTGAACTATGTAGCAGTCTTGGGAGAAGAGCATTCCAGACAGAATAAAACGCAAGTTCAAAGGACCTGAGGGAACAGCCTGCTTAACATGTTTGACAGCAAGAAACAGAGTAAAGTGAACCTACGGGAGAATAGTAGTAGATGATGTTGAAAACAGAGCCATGGCATGTGGAGCAGAGCTTCACATACCAGTAGGGAAAGAACAGGTTCCCATTCCCCCCACCCCCACCAAGTCTTTTGCAGACCAATCCTATTATAAAATACAATAAAAAATTAATTAACAGGAAAAAGGAAATGAATAAAGAAAAAGACATAGAAAATATAAACTTTTTATCAAAACCAAGAGATATTACATGACTTAGTTTCTAAACTCTTACTTTAAATATTGCAGTTATCCTGTGGGCCAACACTAGTCTATGGGCCACACTCTGAGATGCAATGTATACCATTATAATGACTTTTGCTTTGATGCTCAGTGATAATGAAAAGCCACTGGAAGGTTTTGAGCAGAGAAATTACGTGATCTAACCTACATTTCATTGTAAGAGAACAGACCATGTTGATAGGTGGGCAAGAAAAGAAGCAAGGAGATTAATTAGGAATTTATAACAATAATACAGATGAAAGATTATGGAGGCTTAGACACAAGAGACAGTGTGAGTGCTGGGTAGTATACGCTCTGAAGGTAGACATTCTGTATACATTCTGAAGATAAAGCCGACAGGTTTTGTTGTCAAATTAGATGTAAGATATAAAAGAAAGACAAGAAACAAGATGACGAGAAACTGGAAAAGAGCTGCCATTAAATGAAACAAGGAAGACTGCAGGAAGAGCAGTCATGTTTGAGATATCTATTAGAAAGCCAAGTGAAGATGCCCACTTGGCATTTGAATATTTCAGTTCAGCATTCACAGAGCTTAGATGACAGGTCCAAGACTAGAGATAAAATTTAGAATTGTAGTACACAGATAATAATATTTAAAGCTATGAGAATGGATGAGATCAATAGGAGAATACATAGAAAAGAGGCAAGAACTGATTCCTGGTCACTTCAACATGAAAAGGTCAGGGAGATACAGAAAAATCAGTAAAAGCATCTTATGTGAGAAATGACCAGTGAGGTGGGAGAAAAACAGGAGCATATGATATTCTGGAGGCTAAGAGAAGGGTTTCAATGGGAAGAAAATGATCCACTCTGTAAAATGCTCCTGATGAGTCAAGTAGGATTAGGATGAAAATGTACACCTGATTTAACAATGTAGAGGTCACATTTGGCCATGACAAGAACAGTTTGATTAGAAAAAATGAATGAATATAATGAACTCTAACAAATTATTCAGAAAAAGACAAACACCCAATAGAATAAAAAAACATGAATAGGCAATTCACAGACGAGAAAACATGTTGAAATCCAGTACTGATGAAGGAAATTCAAATTAAAAGAGAAGAACAAATTTTTAGAAAATGAGAACATTTCACATAAATAGGAGTAGCAAAAAACTAAAATCTGACAGCACAAGTAATGGGCAGGATATGCGTCAATAACAACACCCAAATACTACTGAAAGGAATGTAAATTATTATAACACATTGGAAAACAATTTGGCAGTAATGGTAAAGTAAAGCTAATATTGTATAAATCCTACAACTTAGCAGTTATACTTTTGGTATATACCCTAGGGAAATTCTCCCAGATGTGCACAAAAATACACGTATAAGAATGTTCACTGTAGTACTCTCTGGAATAGTGAGAAACTGAAAACAACTTAAAAGATCATCAATAGAAAAAATGAATAAATAAAAAGTACAATACCATAAAGTAATTAAAATGAACTATGGCTATGTATTAACAACAAATCTCAAAAAATAATGGTTAATGCAAAAAATTAGCTGCAGATGACAGTACAATATGACACAATTTAAAATTTAAAACTATCTAGAACAATAATATACAATGTTTATATATTATGAAGTGAAAGTTAAGGAAAAAAACAAAAATTAATATGGCATAATGATAAGTGATAAATGTGGGTGGTGAATTTATTACCTTTAAAAAATTATGCTGTATACTGAAATACTAAAATTAAGTATATGAAATACTATTAAAAACACTAAACTGAAAAATAAAAATACTAAACTTAAATATTTGAGATTAAGTATTTGAAATAATTAATGATCATTTTTTAAAAACAGCCATAAAGTGATCCACCTGTAAAACTGCCTGGGTACCAGCTCGTATATTTTGTTCTGTTGCTTCTTCAGAGGCATTATGAAGAACATCTTGGTAGGAGCCATTTTTTGCCCAACCAGAATTTCGAACATGATCAGCAACATTGGTCCCATTTTCCTGAAGCAAAATATAAAGTTTTCAATATTTCAATAATAAGAATGCTGCATTAAGTCAGTAAGCTGAAAAGGTAAATGAAATTATTAGGTCCCACAGCTAAACAAGTTTCTTTCTCTCACAAGGAATGATGTCTTACCTGATTATAAAAGCAATATATATTCACTGTAGAAAACGTTCTCATTGACAAAAACAGGAAGTTAAAAAATCATCCATAAGGACCAGCCAGAAATTATACCATTTGAGACAGAGTCATATTTCTACGGATCTAATGTATAAACCTCCCTTCCATACTCTCAACGCATTCAACAATGGAATTATACTATTTATAGCATCAGAAACGATGAATTCTGTTCTAAATTAAATGTCAGAATCCAAATAACTTAAATAAAATAGAAAATAGCTTATATTTAAGAGTAGTAAAATTCCTATTATTCTAAGAATTATACTGATACTTCAAGCCACTAAGACTGCAGCTTTCTGCTTGAATTTTAGCTGTCACAAGTCTTACAGACCAGGGCGTTCTCTTAGGTGAAAAGCATACAAACAAAAATTTCACTCAGTGTGGTTTTCTTTCTAAAGTTTCCCTCCAGTTTCCTCCTGCTTTTGGTCACACCAATATCTTCAAATAGTTGTTTTTTTATATTTTGTAAAGTGTTTATTGCAATATGCAGGAGGTTGTGTTCAATACGGACTACTATGCCATTACTAGAAGCGATACAGGAACTTGGCTCTATGTAGCCAATAACATGGTCTACTCTAGCCTTTCTCTAGAGCTCCATAACCCTATGATCAGGTGTCTTCTGAAGGGTTCTTCCTGAATGACCCACAAGCATCTCAAATTCAAGATATTTTAAAGTAAGTTTATTAACCACATCCTCCCCATTCCTAACAACACCTCCAGCCACCTCAGCCACCACCAAACCTGTGCTTTTTAAAATTCCTATCCATGTGTGAATGCCAACTACCTGGGCTACCAAAAAAAGAAACTTGGGACACCTCCCCATTCCTCATACCTCTTAGCCATATCTGTCCTCTCCCTTAATAGTCCCAATGTAACTGCCACTGTCCTATATCTGATACTTATCAACTTTTTTTTTTTGTCCTTTTTGAGACCGGCCACACCGCACTCAGCCAGTGAGCGCTGTGAGCGCACCGGTCATCCCTATATAGGATCCGAACCCGTGGTGGGAGCGCTCCCGTGCTCCCAGCGCTGCACTCTCCCGAGTGTGCCACGGGCTCGGCCCTTATCAACTTATTTCTAAACTTTGCTAACACTTCCTAACTGGTTTCCTTACCTCCATATTGACCTCCAATCTATCCTCCACTTGGCCTGGCATGATCCTTCTGAAATATGTAACTATTCATGTTATTCTCCTATTTATAAACTTTCAAAAGCTTTCCAGTATCTCGAACATAATCAGTCCATTAACATGGCATACAAGTTACTGAACAGAATCTAGCCCTTGTTTATCTGACACTTCCTACCACTCTGTCCCATCTACTATTAGTTACAGCCAAATAAAAATATTTTCAAGGTTTCTCAAGTCTTTAGATGCTATTCACACTGTGTGACTCCTTTCCCATTTGTCTACCTGCTTTTCATATTATACTACCTCCTCTATGAAACAGACCCTCGCTTCCTCAAGCAGAGTTAGGTATTTCCCCTTTTATGTTCTAGGACCATAGAACTAACACTGTTTTATAATACTTACTTCGTATGTTTGTCTGCTTGCTAAACCATAAGTTATGTAAAGGTAGAATTGGTATTTCTACCTTCTTATTTATACATCCAACACTCATTCTCAATGTTTATAAAACGATGCCATAGAAGGCATTTTAAAATTTTTGAGGATGTTTTGTTGTCACAAGATTTGAAAGATACCACTGGGATTTAATGGGATGGGCCAGGGAATGCTAAACATCCTACAAGGTGCATGACAATTCTGCACGCACGCACACATGCACACACACATAACTGTCTTTCAAATGTCTCACAAATACTATGTGAATTAAAAAGCCCACTTAAAAACTATCTAGGGCCGGCCCGGTGGTGCACTGCTACAGTGTGCCGCTTGAGAGTGTGGTGGCGCTCCCGCCGAGGGTTCGGATCCCACATACAGACCGGTTCCCGCTCACTGGCTGAGCGAGGTGTGGAAGCAACACTGAGGGTTGCGATCCCGTTGCCGGTCCAGTACGGGCGCGACACTGAGGGTTGCGATCCGTTGCCGGACACGAAAAAAGACAAAAAAAAGGAAAAAAAAAAAAAAAAAAAACTATCTGAATCCATAACCTAATTCCATTTTCTAATTGCAATACAAAAATTTTTAACTGATTTCAATATATATTGAATTTATCAGAAATGTAAATCAATGAAAACTTAGTTCATTCCATTAACATCATTTGCTGGCATTTTGAAAAAATCACATTTCTAATGGCAATGCTGGTTGCAGTATGTAAGTAACTGATAGAACAAACCTATACAACACCCACATCACCAGTCCTCCCTCCATTCCTTCCTTCCACTGTTAATTTTTTAATTATGTATGTAAATAGTTTATATTATCTATCAGTCTTATTTAAGGATAGTAGATGACATAGGGTAGGGGAAAACAAATTATTTAGACTGAATAATATGACTTAAAAAGCTAGGGAAAACAGATTATTTAGACCAATAGGTTTATTTTCCAGAGTGATACAGAAATTTATTATTATTCCATAGGTGCTAAGGCATATTAGACAAAACAAATACATCACTTTCAATAAAATTCTTCAGTATCTGCTTCTTGGAGAACCTGACCTGTGAGAAGGGCTGAACAACCAAAGGACAAGAATCCATTTAGACTTAAGAATAAATAAAACTGGGGACCCAAATGCCACTTCTATTCTCTTTTCTCTCATCTTTTATTGATTATCACAGACCAGCTTGTTTTACCTGGTTAGGAAGTTTCACATTCTGCAATCAGATCTAGCAAAAGATTCAAGGAAGAATTCAGAATATTCTGGTTTGTGCTTGGTAGCCAATCCTAGAATAAGACAGGCACTACTTCCAGAAAAGGGGAAATTGTAGTTTGGTAATCACTTCACAAACTATGTACTATAACCTCCATTTTGAGGTAGTACTACAATTTTAAATATTATACCTTTATAATAGCATATAATTTTGATCTGGACAGTGACCTAAAAAATCAGTATACAACCTCAATATTAATTTTAAAATTGTGACATCACAGAGTTTTGCAATAGGGTACTGAGATAACTATCATTATATCACCTAAACAAAATATACTGGAAGATATCTTTAGCTTCCTTAGTACACTTTTGTGAAACTCTAATATATTAAACTTACACTAAAATACATAAATCTTACAATTTTACCTCTTCTCTTTTTTCTCCTTCTTCCACTGAAATGTCATGGTCTGTGACATTTTCAATGCAAGGTAGGTCTGAAGAAGTGAACACAATTTCTTCAGGCTCTTGCATAAATAAAGGTTTTTCCTCTTGCTGGATCCATTCTTGATACACTTTAACCACTTTTCTCATAGCTGCTGCTTCACAAATTGGTAATAAAAATGCCTAGTGAAAAAAAAAGAGAATAGAGATGATACCTTTTCCTTTGCCATAAACTGCTAATACATACATTTCTATGTTATTATAAAATATGAGACAAAAATTTTTTAAAGTTAACCACAGAGCTGGCCAGTTAACTCAGTTTGTTAGAGCCCGGTGTTAGAATGCTAAGGTCAAGGGTTCAGATCCCCATTCTGGCCAGCCGCCAAAAAAAAAAAAAAAAAGTTAACCAATTTATTTAGCAAAAAGCCCTTTGTCTCCAAATAACCTATAAATGCTTCTGGTAGATAAACTCTGACTTGAAGTGGAAGGAACTAAGATTTTGTTTCAACTGTACTATCTCAGAATAGTAATATTCCTTGTTTCGTGAAATTACTATGCTCTTACAAAGTTCAACGTGAATATAACTTTACATAATAAATCACATTTTTGTAATGGACATCATAGTTGTTCTGAAATTATTACTATTAAAATAATTTTGACAAAAAGATTTTAATAAAAAAAAATTAAATTTGATTCCAAAAAAGTAATAGAAATCACATGTAACAAGGCAACTTAGCTTTTCTAAGCACATAAAGAAAAAAAGTCAAAGCTTTCATATTACATTTTACATATAATCAGGTTCTATAATTTAAAAATAAAGCAAACAGAAAAATTTTAAAGGAATATCTTTAAATATTTTTCTCATCATAAAAATACTACATTTTCACAGCAAAAGAAAAATTTAAACATTTCAGATGCCCAAAAATAAAACAGTAAAAATACTCTTCATCTCACTTCCCAAAGTCCTTTCCCTGTATATGTCTGCATTTATGTGTTAAAACTTACATTTTACTTTTTAGTTACAAACAGAAATAGAATTAAATTGTTTCCACTTTTCCTTTTTACAACCACTATTAATTTCAACTTCAAAAACACAAGACCTTTACCTAAAATTTGCCACTTTCTACTTTAGAGTCATCAGTAGGTTTATTTAATAATAATGTGGTCAAAGGAACACCAAATAACTTTAAATACCCTGTTGATATTTTACACATTAACTTTTCATCATCATCTTGGGAACTGATTTTTTGCTCCCAAGATGATGATGAAAAGTTAATGTGTAAAATATCAACAGGGTATTTAAAGTTATTTGGTGTTCTTTTTATTTACTTGCTCATAATGATTCCCTAACGAACTCATTATTTGCTTTCTTCAAACTAACAATCCCATTCCTAAATTCTCACTCATATTCCAGCAGCTTAGTAGTCAAGTGGCATGATTTTGATATTCATTGCCTACTATACGACTATTTATTTAACACTTGTAGCAACAGTTCAGACACTCTTAAAAAGATTCAAAAATAAATTTCAAAAAATTAAAATGTTTCAAATAACTTCAATGAAGTTCTGTTCGAAGACACCAAAAAATGAACATATTTTTAAAAAATTAGTATGGGAACTCTTTGTACTTTCCACTCAATTTTGCTGTGAACCTAAAACTTTAAAAAATAAAATTTAATATTCATAAAAAATTAGTAATTCCCAGAGCTAAGATATTTATTATTGCCCAAATTGTCAGACTATATCCCAAGTGGCCTGATGAATTTACTACAAACCACAATGTACCTGCATCCTTGCAGGTTCCAAAATATGATTTTCCTAACACACAAAACATGGATCTGGAGAAAAAACTGATATTAGCCATGGCTAAAAACTGAGGCATAAAACCAGGGTGACAATTTATAAATTTACAATGAGAATTAACTGTCACAGAAAACAGAATATTCAAGTCCACATATCAGCAGTTTATCTCTCTATGAAGAAGAAACAAAAGACCCAGAATAGCAAAAGCAATCTTAAGCAAGAAGAACAAAGCTGGAGGCACCACACTTCCTGATTTCAAAATACTTTACAAAGCTACATTAATCAAAACAGTACGGTACTGCCATAAAGACGGACCAATATAGATCAATGAAACAGAATACAGAGCTCAGAAATAAATCCACACATCTGCAAGTCAACTGATCTTCAACAAGTATGCCAAGAACGCACAAGGGAAAAGGATAAACTCTTCAACAAATGCCATTAGGGAAACTGGATATCCAAATGCAGAAAAATGAAATTGGCCCCTTATCTCACACCATATACTAAAATCAACTCAAAATGGATTAAAGACTTAAACTAAGACCTGAAACCACAAAACCATTAGAGGAAATCATAAGGAAAAAGTTTCCTGACATTGGTCTGGGCAATAATTTTTTGGATATGACACCAAACACAGAAAACAAAAGCAAAAACAGATAAGTGGAATTATATCAAACTAAAAACCTTCTGCACAGGAAAGAAAACAATTAACAGAGTGAAAAAACTTATGGAATGGAAGAAAATACTGGCAAAGCACATATCTAATAAGGGCTTAATACCCAAAATATATAAGGATCTTAAGCAACTCAACACCAAACCAATAAATAGCCCAATTTTTTCTTTTTCTTTAAAAAGATGACTGGTAAGGGGGTCTTAACCCTTGACTTGGTGCTGTCAGCACCATGCTCTCCAAAGTGAACTAACCGGCCATCCCTATATAGGGATCTGAACCCGTGGCCTTGATGTTATCAGCATCATGCTCTCCCAAGTGAGCCACGGGCCGGTCCTCAAATAGCCCAATTTTTAAATGGGCAAAAGATCTGAACAGACATTTCTCAAAAGATGACATACAAATGTACAACAGGTTTATGAAAAAATACTCAATCACTAATCTTCAGGGAAATCCACATCAAAACTAAAATGAGCTATCACCTTACACCTGTTAGGATGGCCACCCTCAAGAAGACAAAGATCACAGGTGTTGGTGAGGATGTGGAGAAAAGGGAATCCTTGTTCACTGTTGGTGCAAATACAAATTGATATAGCCATTATAAAAGACATTATGGATGGTCCTCAAAAAACTAAAAATAGAACTATAATTTGATCCAGCAATGTGACCTCTGGGTATATACCTGAAGGAAATGAAACCAGCATCTCAAAGAAATATCTATGTTCCCATGTTCTTTGCAGCATTATTCATAACAGCCAAGATTCAGAAACAATCTATGTGTCCAAAGAATGCATATATATGTGTGTGTGTATATATATATATATATATATACACATACATACATATCCCATTTTCTTTACACAAACACACACACACACACAAAAGAATACTATCCAGCCTTAAAAAAGAAGGAAATCCTGCCATTTGAAATAACATGCATGAACCTGGAAGACATTATGCTAATTTCAGTAAGCCAGACACAGAAAGATAACTAGCACATGATCTCACTTACATGTGAGATCTCACTTATATGTGGAACATAAAAAAAAAAATCAAACTCGGGCCAGCCCGGTGGCGCACTGGAGAGTGCACTGCTTGGGAGCGTGGCGGCGCTCCCGCCGAGGGTTCGGATCCCATGTGGAGACCGGTTCCCGCTCACTGGCTGCGTGCGGTGCGGGCGCAACACTGAGGGTTGCGATCCCGTTGCCGGTCCCCGGTAAATCCTGCCATTTGAAATAACATGCATGAACCTGGAAGACATTATGCTAATTTCAGTAAGCCAGACACAGAAAGATAACTAGCACATGATCTCACTTACATGTGAGATCTCACTTATATGTGGAACATAAAAAAAAAAATCAAACTCGGGCCAGCCCGGTGGCGCACTGGAGAGTGCACTGCTTGGGAGCGTGGCGGCGCTCCCGCCGAGGGTTCGGATCCCATGTGGAGACCGGTTCCCGCTCACTGGCTGCGTGCGGTGCGGGCGCAACACTGAGGGTTGCGATCCCCTTGCTGGTCCCTGGTACGGGCGCGACACCAAGGGTTGCGATCCCATTACAGGTCAGTAAAAAAAAAAAAAAAAAAAAAAAAAAAAAAGGAAAAAAAAAAAATCAAACTCATAAAAGCAAAGAATAGAATGGTGGTAAGGGGCTGGGTGGTAGGCAAAATATGGAGTTGTTGGTCAAAAGGTACAAAGGTTCAGATATGCAGGATGAATAAGTTGTGGACATCTAATATACAGCATGGTGACTAGTTAATAATACTGTATTTTATAATACTTGAAATTTGCAAGGAGATTTGATCTTAAGTGTTCTCATACATAAACACACAGAAAGTCATAACTATGTAAGGCAATGGATATGTTAATCAGCTTGTGGTAATCCACAATGCATATGTATATCAAAACATCATGCTGTACACATTAAATATATATAATTTTTATTGGTCAAGTATACCTCAATAAAGTTGGGCGGGAAACCTGCAAAACTAAAAGTGTTTGATACCAATGGACTGCCACTAAAGTAAATTCTAAATGATGAACTTCAAGCAGAGGAAAGTGATTCTAAATAGATCTGAAAGGGAAGAAATCGTGATAAAAGAAAGTGAGAAATATATAACTAAATGTTAACCAATATAGAACGAACACAACAACAATAATACTGGGGTTAACACAAACACACAAAACAGATCTCAATTATTTGATAACAATATATAAGCTGGGGGGAAAAATTAAGAGTAATAGGGTTCTTCTAATGTCCTTGCATTAGGAAGTGGGTAAAAAAACAATAACTTTAGAACTTGGAAAGTGAGGTAACCATGTTAAAATTTACATAATAATCACTAAAATAGAGAATAACTTTTAAACAAGAGATGGGGGAAATATAGAATTAAAAATCATAATTAAAAAGAAAGCAAAAAATAAGAGAATAATGAAAAAAAGAAATATAGGCAAGATAAGGAAAATAGAACAAAATAAGATAGATCAACAAATCCAAACATGTAAGTTATTATATAAATATAAATGTTCCAGTTAAAAGACAGATTTTTATAATACAACCATATTTACAAGAGACATATAAAATCAAAGGGCACAAAAAGACTGAAAATAAAAAGATTAAAAAATGATATATGAGGCTAATTCTGATAAAAATAAAGTAGTATAGATATACAGTCATTCCTTGGTATCTATGGGGGGTTGGTTTTAGAAAACCACCCCGCTCATACCAAAATTCACAGATGCTCAAAGTTCCTTATATAAAATCCATAACCTATTACATGTATAACCAATGTACATCCTCCCATATACCTATGCACATAACACATAACCTATATATATAACCTATGCACATCCTCCCTATACTTTGAATCATCTTTAGATTACTTATAATACCTAATACTATGTAAATGCTATAAAAATAGTTGCTATACTATATTGTTTTTCATTTGTATTATTTATATTGTGTTACTTATTTTTCAAATATTTTTGATCTGCAGTTGGTTGAATCAGTGGATGCAGAACTTGCAGATGCAAAGGGCTGACTGTACTAATAGTAGACAAAATAGACTTTAATCAAAAAAAATTTCTACAGAAGAAAAGAGATATAAATAAATGGTTCAAGTTGCCAGAAGATATAAAATTATAAACTTGTATGTACTTAATTACACAGCTTCAAAATACACAAAGAACAACTGTCAGAACTACAAAGAAAAAAACAGACAAATCACCATCACAGTACAAAATTTTAACACAACCCTCTCCGTAACTGAAAGGTCAAGCCAACCAAAAATCTTAAGTAAGGATACAATAAAGTTGACCAACACAATTAATAAGCTTGATCTAGTGGACTTTAAACATTACTGAACTCAACACCTTCAAACAATATTCTTTTCAAGCACACAGAACATTTACTGGGACATAAGTTTTAATAAATTTTAAATAACCAGTATCTTAGAGACTGTATTCTCTGACTAAATCACATCAGAAACACATAAGAAAAAAAAATTAGAAAAAAATCTAATGTTTGAAAAATATACTTTTCTAAACAGGTCCAAGAAGGTATCATCATGAAAATTGGAAAATATTTGGAACTGAATAATTACAAAAATGCTATACATCAAAATTTGTAGAACGCAGCTAAAATCTTTTTAAGAGGCAAATTAATATCCTCAGAAGTGCTTAAAAGAGAAAACAAGGCTAAAAATTAATTAGCTAGGAAAAGAACCACCAAGTCAAGAAAAGTAGAAAGAAGAAAATAACGAGGAAAAATTAATAAAAGAGAAAAGCAAACACAAAACAGAGAATCAACAAAGCTAAAAGTTCATTCTTTGAAAAGACTTATGAAATTGACAAATCTCTGATAAGAATCATAAAAAAAAAGGAGGGAGAATAAACACTAATGGGAATGAAAAAGAGGAACTTCAGAGATTAAAAAGAGTGTGGGCTGGTCCGTGGCTCACTTGGGAGAGTGCAGTGCTGATAACACCAAGGCCACGGGTTCGGATCTTTAGGAAAAAAAGAAAGAGAGATTAAAAAGATTGTAGGACAGAGCTGGGCAGTTAGCTCAGTTGGTCAGAGTGCAGCCTTCTAACACCAAGGTCACAGGTTTGGATCCACATACTGGCCAGCCACCGCCCCCCCTCCGCAAAAAAAAGATTATAAGAGGATGTCCATAAATCTGAAACTTTTATGTCAGTAAATTTGAGAACAAATTTAATAAACAAATTCCTAGAAAATAAACTTATTCAAACGGACTCAAAAAGTAGAAAACCTGAACAGCTCTATGAGGTTTAAAATTTCCCACAAGCATTTCAACATCATTTGTCAAATGTCTTTCCCTTCCCATTTGTTATATATTCTGTTAACACAAACCTTCAATCTGGCTGCTATAACCACTGCCAAAGTGGGACAAAAAAGTTACAAGTTCTTTAACTTTGGTTGACAAGCCTAATGCCACCTCATACTTTGTTTTACCATATGAATAAACATGTGGGAGATGAAAATTATTTGCTTGGCCTAGAGAGTTCACTGGCATGTTCGGGCAGTCACACAGGATTAAAGAGCAGTGACACGGGAACCAGGATCTGGGCATTTTAGTCTCAGATCTACCACTTACTTGCTGTGAGACTTAAACGATCCTCTTCAGCTACAAAGCTCAATGACGTTTACCTGCGAAAGTTAACTAACTTTGCTATTAAGAGCAATAGTTAGTTTTCATAAGGTTTATTTACCACAAAATTTCTATGTATGTGAGAATGTGCACTTAGGAATTTCTAGCTATATTTACATGAAATAGCTTTTTTTTTTTTCCTTTTTCTTCTTTCTTTCTTTTCGCTCTTTCCCCAAGCAACTGTAATTTCAGTAATGCCTTAGAGGACAAAAGTGAGTCTCTCTGAAGATAAAGCAACGAAAACACCATGTCTTGCATTCATAAACCACTTTTTACTGATCAGAGAGTGGAAGATAAAATAGTTTTACTATAATTTATTAATCAAACGATAGGAAGAAAAGTTAAATCCATAAAGTGAGTCATTTAAAAAATGATTCTGAAAACAGAAGTATGAGGGAGAAAAAGAAAATAGTTATTAAACTAAAATAATCATAAACTAAAATATATAAAGAATAAACAGAAAATATTAAAGGATTACATGTAAAATTTAAAAACTAAATATGACATTACAAAAACATCTCCAAGAAGAATAAATTTTAAATAGTTAAATTCAGTATATTCAATGTTAAAGACAAAAGTCTTCATTACAAATTAAAAATACTGACAGGTATTTTACCTGACGAAATATCTCAGTGACAAAGTTTACATTACTTCTTTTAGAAGAAAAAACTCTGCGAACTATTTCAATGTCTGTGAGATGTTCTTCATCAATACTACAGAGACTAGATGAGCTGGGTTCTCGCTCTGTGAGAGTGCTTGTATTAGAATGAGACTGTTCTGGTTCTGTAGTTCTGTCTGCTTTATCAGCATTATCATTTCTGTTTTCTTCTCTGGATACCAAACTAGCGGCTGCTCTCTAAAATAAAAATGAAAGAGGAAGAATATCATAATCACTTAACTGGATATTTTGTCTTTTAACAGCAAATACTGGCAGAATCCAAAGCATTCCACAAGTAACTTACAGCACTGTTTAAAATCCAGGCATAGAGTTTCATTTAGAATCCATTCTAAACAAGTGGCAATGCAAATAATTCAACATATAAACGATACAAATATACTCCAAAATGTGTAGTAACTAATTATCTACTCACCTATAATTAGATTTGTTTCTCAGTAAGTTTACAGTTCAAACAAGTTACTAATTAAAGCTGGGCGAAAGAATAATGCTAACAGAAGCATCTAAGATCTTTTTGAGAATAAATAAATAACATATTTTGGACTATTTACCTAATTAAAGCCTTAATGTTTAAAATTATCTCCATTTAACCTTACAGAAAAATTCACACAAGTAATAACTTTTGTTTTTTTAATGTCTCCTGTTTTTTTCGGGAGTGGGAAGGGCATGTGCCTGGCTGGTACAGGGATCCAAACCCTTGACCTTTGCGTTATCAGCACTCCGCTGAGTGAGCTAACTGGCCAGCCCACAAGTAATAACTTAAACAAACAAAAGTCAAACAAAACAAAGGAAAGGAAAAAAATTTATGAGAGAAGCAGAAATGAAACTAAAAATATTAGAAAACTTTAGAGAAAACTCTAAATTCTAATAACAGAATTTCCACCAAGACTGAAGATCAAGCCTAACCCTAGAGAAAAAGTAAAAGTCTTAAGGTGGTGATATGTAAAGTACTACCATAATATGGTAGAAGTAGCACTATTCTGTGGCATGGTAAATTATTTTCTATTAAGTTATTCAATTTTTGGTCTCAAGTTTTGTCATCTATAAGAGAGTTTAAGTAAATGATCTCAAATCTGTCGTCTCAATCAAAAAAAAAATCTATGATCCATAAAAAATCCTAGATCCATTAGGTTCTAAGATCAGAAAAACAGTCGTGCTTGAGAGTGTTGGCATTTAATAATTCTTTGTAGAGAACTTGGAACAAAGTTTTGGTAAAAATGCACCATATACTCTGCTGCAGGCAAAAGTCTAAGGGAAATAAAAGTCAAATATTCTGAACTCTTAGGAACTATACACACTTTATACCCCCATTCTATTTTTAAAAGACTTCAGAAGTTATACAAAAACACACTTTAAGATTTTAAAAGCTAAATGGGGAAATCTGAGAAAAGGAAAATAAAAATAGTAAAAATACTGTAATATAGACACATTCAGAAAAACACACAACGAGGGAAAAGAGAAAATGAAGAAGAGGTAAACTGTCTAATCCACAGAAACAGAATTTTAAATATTAGTTCCTCTGTTGTACGGCTGTGTAATTTTATTATCACATTTCTAAACTCGGTGCCTTTGTTGGAAAAAAGAGAAAGCGGGACAGAAACAGGACTTTAAATCTGCATTCTATGAGTGCCTAGAAATTAAAAAGGGCTATCAAGGTCCTACCGTTCGATTGCAGTTCTTTCCAAGTGTAAAAATTTATTTGTACAATTCAGAATATTTTTAGTACTATACAATTAAAATAAAATACAGAAATAAATTAGAAACTGGAACTGATACACAACTAAAATTGCCTATACCCTCCAAGTTCTATTTTTTTAAAAATTATTAATTCTATAATAATTAAAATTTGTATTTATAAAATACATTTATACAAATAGAATATCACTATTATTTGTTTTAAATGTGCTTGACAACTAAGGCAATTGGAATCAGTGGAATAAATCTCAAAAGCCATTTCTAACTTTCACAACCTTGCCTCATTTGTATATTACCTGAATATTCTTTGGCAAGACTTCACCTTCCATCCCAGGAATATGAGGTCCTGTATGGGGTTTTGGCTCCAGCCAGAAAGAAACCAGCCAACGAATGACAATAACACGAGCCTTAATGAAAGGCTCCTTTGTACAATAGATTGCTTCATTGGTTTCAGCATCCTTTTTTATCATGACATAATGTGGCTTTGGTCTCATCTGTGGGATATCTATGCAAAATAAAAACAAAACAAAAACCAAAATAAGAAAGTAATTATGCTTACAAAACATGATGTTATTCTGGTTTTAGAAGTTGCTTTAGCACAAAAACGATATTATAAAATTTGCTAAATGTTAGCATGGAACCTAGAAGAGTAAACCATGTATACCAGGGCTGATATACAAAAACATGCCTTTTTGCAAAATATCATCCAAAGCTTCACTGAATCCTGCCTAAGTACAAGAAGCTTCCAGAAACATTTAAAATTAATGAGAGCTCACTTCAATTAACCTAAGACACAGATCCCCCTACCAGCCAGCCACCAAAAACAAACAAAAAAAACCTAAAACTAAAACACATATTTTGAAGTCATACAAAGTATAAGGTTTTGCCTGAGCCTATTAGTTGCTGAAACCTGGTATCAGAAACATGTTTCTGCAAAACAGACATTTCCACATACAACTACCAATGCCTTCTATATATGACAGAGGTTTGCTTTGAATCCAGGATTTGTTCACAATGCTCTATCTTCAAGACTCCAAAAGATATCTTGGTACAGCCACTAAATACTGGACAAGATATAATCAAAACATATGACAATGTAATTATTCATATAGGATATGAATAAGGCTAATACTTGATTTAATCCTTGGGAAGCCTTAAAAAATATATATAATATAGTATAAGCATCATACCAGACATCAGAATTCAGTTTAATTTATAATCACAAATATTTCTGGTGGGCTAATTTCTCCAGAGAATTTAAAAAATCTTTCTCAATGAAAATTCCTATTAATATAAATTCACTTTCAGTATAAATTTAGGTATAGTAATTACCCGTACCAACCAATACAAATATTAAATGTGATCAGTTTTCCACAGTAATAAATGCCAACTTTACATTGAGAGATTTTTATTCTTATGTGTGATCTTTTAGAAAATTCCAAATGCTACCTACCAAGTACAGGATGATATAAACTGTACTCCTTGCAGATGTTTGGAAAAATATAAGGCAAGTAATATTTCTTAAAATGTGAAAACAAAAATGAAAATCCCCTTTCTTGATTTTCTTTGTTCTTCCATTCTAAACTTTTTACCTAAAAATAAACAAAATAATTAGAATCATTACAGGAGACAGAATCTCTTAAATACAATTATGAGCTGTTGTAAACAAGCTTGTAAACGGTTACAATACATTGAACTGCTATATACAGCAAAAGGACCAATCTTTAAAATTGGTCTAATGTCACATAAATACATTACATATTTTAAAAACCTTAGAAGTTAAAATGTGCTCTAAAAAACTGTGAAAACTGACTCAAAATTTGGCTCTACTAATGACAAAGATACCAATGTTCTTTCCCCCTTTGCCCCTTCCTGAATAATTCGGCTTAAAAGTCATATGAAATAGGCATACATGGACAGGGCTGTGTGTGCGCGCATAAGCTGTAGAAGTAGTTGAGTGCAAATAATCATAGGCTGAGTACAAAAAGCAGGTCATCCATGAAGGCGCGTAGCAGAGGAAGCAGCCCAGTGGGAACTCAGAGCCTGGGCTAGGTGAGGAGAGTGTCCATGAAGTGGGAAAGAAGACGGGGACAGAGGAGACAGAGCAGTATAACATAGGGTATGGAAATGCCTATATGGTGAGGAAGATATCCAAGTAGGGTATTGGCAAAGGCCCAGAGTGGGGTATTGAAGCCCGATAGAATTTAGGGGAATGTCTGCAAGAAGGGCAATGGGGATAATAGGAGGTTGACTACTTACAAGGGAAACTGATTAAATAAGTAAATATACTGAGAATAATGTGAGCCAGGTATCTCACTGAAGGAAAATAATTATATATATTTAAAGGAAGAAACCAGAATAAACTCCGTTGTACTGAACTTAAATTTGGGGTACTTCGTTATAAATTTGTGGTGTGTGATAGATGGTTGGGTGGATGGACAGATGGATGGATGGATGGATGGACAGCCGGACAGATAGACAGATATAATGATAGACCAATGGATGGATTAGAGTGCCTGTGTATGTACACATTCCCTAGCTCTGGCCACTGAGAGGGCCCAGAAGTAGCAACACCCCAACAGCAATAAGCATCCTGAGTGTCTGGATCTTGCATTCTAAATACTATTCTCCACTAAAATGAATGATGTCTCCCTGGAGAAACAGCAGAATTCAGAGCTATTCAGAATTCAAGGAAGGTACAAGATGAGACTGGAACACCTCACTGTGCCAGGAAGTACGGAAGTGCTCAAAAAATGATAGAAACAAATCAAAAGGCATAAGAGTTAGCTTGAAGGAGCTCCCACTAGTCAAATCTAGGACAATCTGTGCATCAAAATAAGTAACTGTAATAAATATTTAACACACGGACTCATAGGAATTCATAAACCCATGTTGAGAAAATTAATTAATTAATTGATTAAATGGGGAGGGGTGAAAACTTTTTCCTATATAGTATTTTGCCAACTGTTGAATCTAGAAGTAGCGATGGAATTAAAATATCACCAGTTGGCCCCCAAAAAAGCAAACAAAAAAACCCTCAAATATCCATCAACTGATAAAGAGATAAACAAAATGTGGTATATCCACACAATGGAATATTTCTCAGCAATAAAAAGGAATGAAGTATTGATACATGCCACAACACAGATGAACACTGAAAACATTTGCTAAGTAAAACAAGCCAGTCAGAAAAGACTACATATTGTATGATTCCATTTGTATGAAATGTCCAGAACAGGCAAATAGATAGAGAGAAAACAAACTACTGTTTGCCTAGGGCCGGTGATGGAGAGTTGGGGGGTAAATGGACTGACTCCTAACAGTTACGGAGTTTCCTATTAGAAGGACTGAAATGTTCTAAAATTATATTGTGATGGTCGTTGCATAACCCTGTGAGTATACTTAAACACTGAACTGCACGTTTTAAGAGTGAACTATATGGTATTATGTATTATATTTCAATAAAGCCATTTAAAAAAAATTACCAGTTAGCAACCATAATAGTAATAATTTAGCCAAAAATCTTCAATGGATGCTAAAATACATGGGTGAAATTTTAATGAGGAAGGGGATATTTACATAGTTACAAAGTACTTCCCCACAAACTAATTATTGATTATAAAGAGAAGAGGAGTAATATTACACTGGAAAAGCCTGGCAGACATCACCTTTATAAAGGGATCAAGGTTAACATTACTCATAAATCAGAATTATCTCAAATGGAGCACAGACCTTAATATAAAACATAAAGCTATAAAACTTCACAAAGAAAACATAAGAGAATACCTTTGTGACACTGGATTAGGCAAAGATTTCTTAGAAAAAAACCACCAAAAGTCAGATCCATAAAAGAAAAAACTTGATATACTGAACTTCATCAAAATAAAAAAATTTGTTCTTCAAAAGAACAAAAGTAGTCTTCAAAAGACTGCTATGAAAATGAAAGGCAAGCCACTGGGAGAAAATATTTGCAAAACATACTCACATACCTAAGGGCTTCTATCTAGAATATATAAAAAACTTACAACTTAATAAGACAAATAACCCAATTAAAAAATGGGCTAAAGAAGTGAACAGACACTTCACCCAAGAGGATATATGGATAAAAAATAAGCACATGAGAAAATACTCAACACATTATTAGCCATTAGGGAAATGAACATTAAAACCACAATGAGATAACTATTACACACTCACTAGAATTGCTAAAATTACAAACTGACTATCCCAACTTTTGGTGAGAATGTGAAGCATTCATACATTGCTGGTGAAATGTAAAAAGGTACAACCATTTGACAGCTTGACAGTTTCTTAAAAAGTCAATATATGAGGGTTCTTCAAAAGTTCACGGAAAGATTAGTATAATCTTTTAATTCCATTTTTCCATGAACTTTTTTTTTTTTTTTTTTGTCTTTTTCCATGTCCGGCAACGGTTCGCAACCCTCAGTGTTGACCCCGTACCGGACCAGGGACCGGCAACGGGATCGCAACCCTCGGTGTTGCCCCCGCGCCTCGCTCAGCCAGTGAGCGGGAACTGGTCTGTATGTGGGATCCGAACCCTCGACGGGAGCGCCGCCGCGCTTCCCAAGCGGCGCACTAGCGCAGTGCGCCACCGGGCCGGCCCCTTTCCATGAACTTTTTAAGTACCCTCGTATACCTCCTATATGACTTAGTCATTCCACTCATAGGGATTTACCTGAGGGGAAAAAAAGCTTGTGTTCACATGAAACCTTGTTTACCAATTTTCACAGCGGTTTTACTTCTAATAGCCAAAAAACGAGACAATCCAAAAGATCATTAACAGGTGACTGGATAAATAAATTGTGCTGTATCCATACACTGTAATGCTACTTACCAATGAAAAGGAGCAAACTATTGATACATTCAACAATATGGATGATTCTCAAAATAATTATGCTGAGAGAATGAAGCCAAACCAAAAAAGAGTATGTACCACATGATTCTATTTATATGAAAATATGAAAAACGCAAACTAATTTACAGTGACAAAAATCAGATAAATGGTTGCCTGGGTGTTGGGAGAGTGCAAAGGTAAGGATTACAAAAGGATCCAAGAAAACTTTTAGGATATGTTCATCACCTTGCTTAAGACGATGATTTCATGTGTATAACATGTAACAGAATTCATCAAATTGCAAACTTCAAATGTTACAGTTTACTGTATACCGATTATATCCCAATAATCTAGTAAAGAAATCTTAAAAATCTATATACAGTACAAAAGATTTTCAAAAAAAAGAAAAACTAGAAATAATAATGGGTAACATCTACCCACTATAAAACATTTACAGTGTGCTGTGCACTTTTTCTAAGCATTTTGCACTATTTAAGCCTCAAACACCAAAGGGATAGGTAATTTTTTTATCCCTATTTTACAAATGGGAAAACAGCAGCACAGTGGTTAAGGAATTTGCCAAAGGTAACACTACTAGTAAGATGTGGAACTGGGATTCAAACCCTAGCAATTTGGTTCAGGGTACAAATTAACTTTACAATATTTGTTTCTGAGATATAAAGAATTTTTGTGTTTACAACAGTTACAGGGAAAATATATGTGCTAAAAGTATTTTCATCAGTCAATCAGGACGTACACATTTCCATATTCACAGAGATGGAGAGATTACCTTACAAAATATATGCACCTAAAAATTCAAAGGTACAAATAAGTTTAATTGAAAATTTCATTACTCACCAATACCTATCCTGCAGCCTACCACCCTAGTTGTTACATCTTGGCAGATTAATCCCTAAATCAGTTATTAGCTTTTCATTTAAAGTACCATAGGTGCTGATTACAAATGAAAGGATTAGAAAATAAGCCCAACTGGCTCACATAAGAAGGTATATGCATAAAGAGCCTACTTTACAAAAATTCCTCTCTCCAACTCCCTCTGTAAAAGTTTCATAATCCCTCCAATGATTTTTTATTTCAGGAAGGGGATACTAACGTATTTTCAAAAATAAAAATTTGTCACTCTTCCTTCAAGAAAATAAGCAAGTATCTACTGTGACAGAATAATGGTAAGAGAAGGAAAAAAGGATAGTAACAGCAATAATATCAAAGAAGATAACACATACCTGAATTACTATATATTTTAAAAGTGCTTCAAGAAAATAGCTCGTGAGATCTTCTTGTCCTTTATCTCCTGATTGTGGGGGAACAAGAGGAGTGATTTCCTCTATAGTAACTTGAGCTACCCAAAGATAAAAGAACAGTATAATTATAGACAAATCTAATAATACAATGCATGTGACCAAATAAAATTTAACTGCAGAACATGTATGCAATGATAACTACTTAAATACTTTCTAAAGACTGAAACATGAAATAAATCTGAGGTCATCCCTGATAGTCCATCACATCCATAAACTTTAATAATCAGCTATTTCATGAACCCCTGATTGAAAAAATGTGCATAGGGATAAACAGACAGATATGCAGTGATTAGGAATGAATAAATCTCACTCAATAAAGAAATTCTCCTGATAATTTTAAATTCACATTGAGAGTGTACACTTTAAAAATTCCACAATGGAAACATTAGCAATAATGTGCTATTCATCAGAGTAACAATCTGATTACACTTATAAGAAATTTTTTACTTTTCAGATAGTCAAAAAAATACAATATAACAAATGCAAATGCAAGAAAATCAATCCACCACTAGTCAAAAGCTCTTAAGTATTTCCTAAGCAGCACAATCAGTACCTGGTTTAACACATGCAGGTCCCTAAACGTGGAGGGTACTAACATTAATAAAGCAAATGTATTTCACAGGGCCTAACACACAGAAATGTTAAGCTTGGGAAAAACAGAAAACTTTCCCAGGACTAAAGTCTCTGTTGTAGATAAAAAATTTGTAACACAGCAGAAAGTTCTTGCTCTAAGGGCAGATGCCCTCAGTGCAGCTAAACCTAATGATGGGAAAAATATGTGAGTTAAAATCTTCAAGGCTACTCTGCCAATTAGTAGTTGGTTCCACATTTCACTTTCAACTGTTTCTCTAAGTTTCCTAGGGAACTTAGTTGTTGCCATAATGATTATCTCATTGGTTCTTTTGTATGTCACATAGCCTGGTTTTATGACTCCTTTGATGGTAAATTGCTTAAACTATTTTTAAGCTGCACCTACTTTAATGAAAATTGTCATGTAGCCAGTTTATGTTTTCACTATGACTGATTAACCACCTGTGTTCTTTCCTGTAACTTTTTGCCTGGACAATAAAAACCGAGAGAAAACCTAGTTCGTGGTTATTTCCTAGGAATTCTTCTCTCTTGAGGAAATCGTTCCTGGGATTTAACCCCTTTGGGCCTCTCATTGCTCAGGAGAAATGGGCTTTGAGTAATCCTTCACGTCTCCATTGCCCTGGGGGAGAGGTGACACCTAAACCTGTCTCTCAACAAATATCAGCCAAGGAACTAACCTCACAACAGAGACAGATTTCACCTCTTAGATAGTACATGGTATGTTACTTGTACCACTCATTTAAAAAAAATTTTCTTTAAAAATACATTTATCACCTGTACCCTGAATTTCCGGGACCACTCTGTGCCCACAGAATAAACTTTTTGAATGCTTTACTTCGTAAAGCTATAAAAATCCCCTTAAAACCCACTGGAACTCTTCCATAAGAACTTCTTAGTCTCTGTTGGGGAATATAAAGATACTCCATATTTTCCATGTCTTGCAGAGCAAAACTTCTATTCTCAAAAAGAGAAGGGGCGGGGCCGGCCCGGTGGCGCACTGGATAGTGCGCCGCTTGGGAAGCGCGGCGGCGCTCCCGCCCGAGGGTTTGGATCCCACATACAGACCGGTTCCCGCTCACTGGCTGAGCGAGGCGCGGAAGCAACGCCGAGGGTTGCGATCCCGTTGCCGGTCCCGGTCTGGTACGGGGGCGACACTGAGGGTTGCGATCCGTTGCCGGACACGGAAAAAGACAAAAAAAAAAAAAAAAAAAAAAGAGAAGGGGCAAGAGTCAGTCACAAATGCATTTGAAGCTAATAATAATAAAAAAAGAGTCAGGTATAAAAAGAGTAATGAAAGAAAACCTACAGTGATAGGGTTATAGAGATGCAGAAGAAAAATTACTTATAAAACATGTTAAACACATCAAAATGACATATAATGTAATAAGCAGGCAAAAGTAGCCTACTCATACTGGTTCATTTATAGACTTCATGTCAGCTTGGTACTGTTTCTTAAATTTTGTGCTACAGGTATAGTTTGCTTTACCACAAAACCTAAATTTATAGAAATACAAATTACAAATAAGATGAAGTATACAACACAGCACTGATCATGGACTGAAATGTACACCCCCCAAATTCATATGTTGAAACACTAACCCTCAATGTAACTATATTTGGAGAGAGGGCCTTTCAGGAGGTAATTAAGGTTACATAAGAAACAGCATGCCTGGGGTTCTAGGGCAGGAGCCAAGGGCCAGTCCCTCCACCCAGAAGCAGGCAAGAAACAGAGCACACCTGGAGTCCTAAGGCAGGAGCCGAGGGCAGCATCCCCTGGAGCACACTGATAACACCACTTCCACACAGGTGATCCACCACAGCCACTGCCACAAAAACAGCTGCCGCAAAAGTGGCGGACACCACAGCAGTAGCCAGAACTACCATGCAGGCAGCCTGCCAGACACTCAACTGTGTTCACACAAGGAGAGTCACCACTATTGGAGACTGGAAAGAGAAGAGGACATCTCTTTCCTCAAAGCCTGCCCCAGAGTAATAGAAGGAACTGCTTTACAAGATGTCCAGACATGAACTCAGAGGTATTAGAAATAGGAAAACCCAATAAAATATGACACCACCAAAAGAATACAGTAATTCTCAGACCCAATAGAGCAAGAAACACTTGAAATGACTGAAAAGGAATTCTGAGCAACAAGCTTAAGGAAACTCACTGAGCTAGGAGAGGACTCAGACCACAGACTGAAATAAGAAAAAAAAAAAAAAAAAAAAAAAAAAAAAAATCCAGGATATGAGGGAGGAAATTAACAAAGGGATTAATAGCTTAAAAATAATGTAGCATTTTAATATAGGTGTTTACAAGTAAAAATTTTTCTCTAAGCACTGCATGAGCCCTGCATTCTACAAATTTTAATATGTTGAACTTTGGGGTCGGGGG